TTTTTTTTTTTTTAAACAAGCTTGGAGGTCTTAGATACATAAATGCAACTAGCAATGGAGACATGAAAAAATGTATTGCTAAAAAAATTAACACGTTTTTATATTACCCCTTTAGACTCTAGAAATTATACAAACCCTACAAAATGCCCCCCCGCCCAGAACTTGCAAACAGTAACTGTCTCAATACAGAATTCATATCATTAATTACAATACATATCATAGTTCAGTTTTTTAAAAATGCAATAAAATCAAAGACAGCCAAGATACAAGAAATTAGAAGTAAAACATTTAATGAATTTACATATTTAAGAATATTTAAATACTGTTTAAATTTTTTTTTTTTTCTTTTTAAGATTTGTTACATACCACACCTAAGACTTCCAAGCCACTCTTTCTGTGTCAACAGAAAAGATCGAAAATTAAAAGGAAAAAAAAAAAAAACAAAAACACACAAAAAAACCCACATGTTGAAATGTCACAGCTCTGGGGTGCGTTTTGGTGCCTGCAAATTCTCTGGCTTCTCTCCAAAAAGAATCCCGGAGGTTTGTTTTTTTTTTTAATATAAATTTGGAAACAAAATTACCAGCATGTCCATACGTTTAGTACATTACTAATTGTTCCTGATTCTTAGAAAAGTTCAGTATAGATTATCCTACAGCTAGTGTTTCACAAACAGAAAAGTCTTCATCAAAATGTTGCAAATCTAGAAACCTCTGTTACAAAAAGGTTTTCTTCCACAATGATTCCAAGAGAAAAAAATTGCCACGAGGACCTTGTTCTACTGCTCCTGGAAAGAGAGAGGGGAGAAAAGGAAAAGTTACTCAGTGGCAGCAAATTCCCAAAGCTGCCGAGCCCTCCTCCCCCGACACAGGTCTGTCCCCGCTCCAGCCGAGCGGGATACAGACCTCAAAGGATGCTCTGAGCCCCTACCAAAGCCCTCCTTCTCAGCATTCCTCTTACCAAACAAGATCCCTCTTTCTAGTGGGCCAGACTTAGAGGGGAATGAAGGGAACTCCCTTTTATCACCCACCGCTTCCAGGTCACACTTGCCCAGCGCCGGCGGCAACGCCGACAGCGGCACCGGCTCGCCCCGCTCGACCTCGGCAGTGCAGCTGCCTGGGGACGGGGCTGCTGCCGGCATCCACACCAACCCCTGCTCCCAGGAGCCAGAGTTAAACGTGGATCAGTGGGGAGAAGGGGCTGATCACGCTAAGGTGCTTTGCACAGAGTTTTTGCTTTATTGTTTGCTCTGCGAGCCTGGTGCTCGGGAAAGGCCTGTGGGATAAACTCCATACAACCCCTCCGGTGGGCTGAGTGACAGCTGAGGTGAGATTTTCCTTGAAAGCAGGTTAATTCAAATTATTTTTCAAGAGTTTTGGTCTCCCTTTCAGCACAGGGAGCTGGTGAGTGCACAGCTCTTGTCCCAGCACCACAAAAGGCAGAGCCTGCACACACGGTCCCGGGATGTGCCAGTGCTGTGCTACTCATCAGCCTGGCTCAGTCATTGCTTTATTTCCCCAAAGTCACACAACAGCCTGGGGTTCTCCCAGGACAAAAAAAATAACCTCCCAGTCCTCTCCCAAAAACATCCTCACCCTGTACAGGGAAATAAGACTCTGCCATTGAGACAACACTTCCGGGATCACTTCCTCAGCCAAAAAATATCTCTGCTTGACCGTGTGAACCCAAAGGAGAGTCCCCACACCAGGCCAAGGCCAACACACCCAATTCCCCAAGGGAAAGAGCAGTGGGGTTGAGGGAGGGTGAATACAGACCTGGCTGTGTGCCTGAGCCTGCCCTAGTGTCTGCCCGTAGTAGGCAGCCTGCTGTCGGTAATACTCTGCCCAAGCCATCGTGTAGTCCTGCTGGGAACTTGCCTGAGGAGCAGCACTGGCAGCGTGACCTGGAGGGAGAGACGGGAAAAGGGAGAGATGAGCAATTCTCTAAGTCCAAGCCCAGGGTTAGGATCTCCTTTTGTCAAGCTTAAAGAAGAGCCAGCCCCTTCCAACTGCTGCAGACACCTGAGAGAGAGACACCGGCTCCGCTGCGTGGGACGGCGGGACGGGCTCTGAGCTGGATCGGGAGGGACAAGCCAAGAGCAGGCACAAAGCACCAAGAGCGCTCCTGCAGCTGCAGGGACAGGCTGACAGCCTGCACCCGTCACCCTGGCCCAAAGCCTCCAGCAGCACAGTGTCCAAAGCAAGTCCAGAAGTCGGGATCATGCGCTCCGTGACGCAGTGGAACAAGCCAGGCCCATGTTTTTCCACGAGCTCTCCTACCCTCTCACAACCCAGCTCCAGCTCCCTGGATTTTGCCAGCATCAGCTTCCTGTGTGCTCTATGCTTCCCCCAGGCAGGCTGGCTGCAAGCAGGGCAGGAGGTCTGCTGGGGACCGTGGATCAGTGGGAGCAGCTCTCCCGAGGCACCAAGAGCTTTCCGTGGGAGAACTACATGCACCATCACCAACAGGACAGGACCAAAGGGGGTTTGGAAGCCAATAATGGCAGGGACGGAGACGCAAGTCATTGGATTAGAGTTCTCTTTGTAACAAGAGCTGATTCATCTCCAATAAGCCTGTTTCACTCACTCTGTTTTTTGAAATACTCCTCCCATGCTTTGCTGTAATCGGGATGGCTGTTCTGCTGCTGGCTCTGTTGGCCTGTGCAAAGATGACAACAAGGGGCACATCAGTATGGAAGAGGTGACAGTTTCCAGCCAGTGACATCTACCTTTCCACTAGACAGGTCCTAGATCTATCACAGTTGCCCAGATTTGACATTTCAGCTTCCACTTTCCTATACTGTTGGGCATCTTCAGTTCGGGAAAGCCGAGGGAAAGCTCAAGTTCCTGGTTTCACCTCACCTGTGCTCTGCTAAAAGGCATGAAGCCAAGTCTCACCCTGCTGGGACCTGCTCAAGCCAAAGCACGTGGCTGGGAGCTGCTCAGCTGCACACCAGCCACCCTGGGCTGTCAGTCCACTTGAAAAGAGGACAGGGATGGAGGGGAGACCCCTGACAGAGCTGAAACCTGTCACCTCCATGGAGCTGCCAAGGAAATGGCTGTGTTTTGAGTCACCTCACTTGTTTTTCAGGGGCTGCATCCTTCACCCCCACTCTCCTCAGCGAAGCACAGCTGGAAGAGCCCCAGTGTGCCCACACGAGAGCCTTCAGCACACAGCCTGCCCCAGCACACAGCTCCAGGGCAGCCACACCACTCCTGCCTCCTCAGAGAGCCGAGAGCCCGGCACAAGGCACAGCCAGCACCACCTGCCCTCAGCACACACCCCACACACCACCCGGAGAGGGAGCCACAAGAGCCCCAGCTGGCTCACAGCACTGTCTCCAGACTCCCACACTGCTCCAAGGGAAGCAGTGCCACTGCCTGCTCACAGACTCCAAACCCTGGGCTCCACCTAGCACAGACTCCTCGCCTTTGAAGCACCAAGACACCTTCAATCCAGCACATCTGAGTGCAGGGGAGAGCCCAGCCCGGCGAGGCAGAGGCAGGACACCCACACTGCCCTCGGTCCCATTGTGAGCACAGAGCCCTCGGCGAGACACACGGCGAACAAACAGCCCTGAACAGCAAACACAGCATTTGGGAACTGCAGGGAGGCACAGGGAGAGCCAGTATGGACCCAGACAGCAGGCAGGGACAGAGGACACGCGTGGAGCAGAGCTCTTCCCAGCCCATCCCACTGCAGGCTGGCCCCGGCCAGAGGGGGGGCTTTGAAGTGGGGGGAAGGGGGAAATAATACACTGCAAGTGTGAAGTGGGTGGAGGGAACAGGGCAGCAGAGTCCTGTCCAGGGGCATAAAAGCGGGTTAAAAGACTTGACCAACGCTACAAGTCAGGACCTTTTCTGGCAGAGGTCAAGGCTGCCTCAACTGTCCACCTGCTAATGCCAACAAAGGACCTCCTTCAATGCCTTTTCTTCTTGGAGAATTACAGTCCGCAGCAGGCTGAAAGGACACGCAGCTAAATGCATTTCACAGCAAAATGTTTCCCCAGCCAGTTAATTTATTTAAGATGGGGGAAGTAATTAAAATCTAAATACATGTGTAGGGGGTGGGGGTCTGCCCCTCCTCCCACAAGGAGGGCACTCAAGGCTGTCCCCAGGACGCCGGCGCGGTGACAGGGCTAACAGAGCTGTGACACACAGGCTGCAGCACTTGGGGAAGGGACCCTTCACAGCACTGTTTTCAAATTAAAAAGTGCAAAAGCTGGTATTTACATAGTTTCTATTTAAAAGTTTCTATTATTTCTATAAGAATCCTCCCACGCCTTGGTGAGCTCCACCTTGCCTGCCTGGGCACCACTGTGATCTGCAGCAGAGGAAAGTGGTGAAGGCTGCTTAAAGCATTACTGTGTGTGCCCTCTCTCCTTACTCAGGCTGCCTTCAGTGTGCCTGGCTACAAACAGGAACAGGGAGCATCCTAAGCAGACATGGAACTCGAGAGCCATCATCATCCATCAGGTGCAATAGCAGAAATAAAATATCTGCCCCCAAAAGATGACACTGTGGGGCTAAACTCACACAGGGAAGGACAGTGGGAAGGCAGGATGCTCCACGGGTCTTGGGAGCCACCAGAAACCTGACAGTGCAAAGCTGCCATCACTGGGCTATGAGCTGCACTGTGGGTCATCAGGGGGCTTGAGGGGGCTGTGTTTCCTATACCAGGCTCCAAAGCCAGGAGGGGTGAGCTTGAGACATGACTGTAGCAGGAAGGGAGGTTTCTCCCTCCCCAGTGGCTGGTGGGCAGGATGAGGGGATGTTTCAGGGAGCAGAGAAAGGAGTTACGTGACTAAGGTGAGTTTCTAGAAGGCATCCTGCAAGGCAAAGAGCAATGCACATTCTGTAAGCATTTATTCAAAGGCTTTATGGGAAGACAAAAATTAGATTTTTTGTAGAGTTTTCCCTGCTGCACTGACTGCTCTGCTTCCCAAAGCTCAGGGAAGTCCAGAGCTTTTGGGGGTGCAAAGGAAACGAGTGGAATAACATTTTTTTCCTGTAAAACAAGCTAAGGAGAAAATACTCTTCTTCAGTACCATACAATTCCATTCCTGTACAGCAGAAAAGTCCATAAAGCCCACCATTGCATTTTACTGTCAGAAAGCAGAACAACTACTGACCTCCAAGTCCCTGGAGCTCAAAGGAAAAGTCATGATTTTTTAGACTGTAATTGCTGAGGAGCAATTACTCATCCAGAGTTTAACACACACTTCCCATGTCCTGTGTTTCAGAAGTGCACCAAGTTAACAATGCAGCACTGAGATTTCAAAATTCATACATTCACGATTTCATAAACATTCAAAGGTGGTTGGTGTCACAGGGAATCACAAGTGCAACTGCAGGCATTGCCCCTCCAATGATTCCTCTACCTCAGGCACCTCAAAGAGCAGAATTTACACTGAAGTCAATAATCTACTTAACTGCTAAATCAGTCTTAAGACAGTGAAAAGCATCTGTCATCAAACCCCTTTAAAGTTACCCCCCCACACACACTTTTTGGTGCTTAGCTTTAGTTTCATGAGACCAGGCCAGCAAAAAACCTGTATTTCTTGAAAAATTATGATTGTGTCTGTTGGACATTTCCACCACCACATGAGCTTTGAGATTAGCCAGCAGACATAAATCTGATCTGTTTAGAATACACTCCTCTGGCAGTAGAGGACACAGGATGGTGCAGTTACAACATCACCACTAGCATTTACTGAATTATTATGAAAAGGGATACTTCCCTTCCAAACTGCTCAATTTTGACTAAGCAGGTTTTTAGGAAAAAATGACCAGTACAGGAGCCCTGCCTAACCTTTCTTCCACTTTCCCCATCTCCTTTCCATCAGTCTGGGAGTTGAACAGTGAGAAGAGCTCATAAGGAGTAATTAAGAAAGAAAATAAGCAAGAACTGATAAGCTCAAGAACAAAGAGATGGGAGGGCTCAGCAGCAACACTGGGTGCCTGTCAGGGGGAAGTGGGGTTGGCAAGTGTTTGCCTGGAGAATCCTGGGAGAACAGAGCCTGAGGCAGGAATGTTTTCGTTAGGAACAGACAGCAGGGACCAAGTTTCTACCCAAAGAGCAGAGAGAGGCAGTAAGCAGTTTAGCACACAAAAAGCATTGCAGTTTTCCACAGCCTTCAGCTCGTCCTGAGCTCAAACACCACCACGTTTCTCCACACAACTCTTCTGCTCAGGAAATCATTTTGCTGCTTTCACACACGTGGTCTCATGGGTGGACCTGCCTTTCACAGGCAAGAAGCAGCAACTGCAAAGGAAACACCAACCCTTCTCCAGCCCAGGTCCTGGCACTTACTTGGGACTTGCTGTCCAGGCTGCTGCCACGTCTGGTAGGTACTGCCCCAGCCCTGCGTCATGAACGCCTGAGGACCACTGCAGAGGACAAAAAGCCATGCTCAAGTAGACAGTAAAATACTTACCAGGCCACAGACATGAAGCTGCCCACAGGAGAGAAGTTGTAACTCATAGTCAGCAGCTGCTGAGCAAACAGGTGAACATGGGAACAGAAGGAAAGGCTGTGCAGGTGTGAACTGCTATGTACTGCCTTGGTGTCAGTCTGTTCATGAAGCCAAGATGAAGATACATCACACTTGAACAGCATTCCTTGTGCTCCATGCAGTTCAGGCTTCTTCCCATGCTCTCACTGCACTAGAGACACGAATTTTGGAAATGCCAATACCTACCTGGTTTATCATTTAATAGATGAAATTTTTCCCGTGGTCAGGCTTAAAGGATTGAGCTTGCTTGCTTATGCTTCTGAACGCTCAATCTATAGAAGGCTCTGCTATATCCCACCCCTTCAGGGCCCTCCAACCTTCTCCCAACACTTCCTGGCTCCCAGCCATTCCCCCCCAGCCCGTTGGTGATGAGATGGAGCAGCTTACTTTTGATGAGGTGTAGCGGGTGCTTGGCTGAACGGACTCTGACCAAATCCTCCAGGTCCACCCATGCTGGTACCCTGTCACAGAATCCACAAATATTTAATGCCAGCTCCAAGTACAGGGTGGAGGCAGCTCTTATGAGTAGTAAGAAAGGAGAAAAAACAGCCTGGGACACGTGGATCCTGAGGCTGGTGTCAAGCCTTCTCTCAAGCATGAAGGCTGCTTTTCAGCTTTCCTATGCCCTAGTTCAGTATTTTCCATACTTTTTTACCAAAGTAGTACTGCAGCCTGACATTATTAAGCTTCAATACCACAGCACTGCATTAAGTGTAAGATAAGTCATCCTGGATTTACTGGAGCAGGGAGATGAATGTTTTGCTTTCAGGATGATGCTGCCAGGATTACGTCATTTTAACATAGCAACACTGTTGTCTTCCCTTCAGAAACATCCTTTGGCAGCCTTCTCATACCTTATTATTGCTGTTCTTCCCTCTCACATAACTGTATACACTACCCATGATTATATCAACAGTCAGATCCTTCTGGGACCACAGCAAAACTCAGCCCAATGGATGCTGGAGGGCCATCGAGTTCAAGACAGCTGCTAACAGGCAAATGGTTTTGAAGCTGAATAATGTAAGCATGTATATTCAAATCCAGGCCTACAGGTACCTAAACCACGTCTGGAAGAGACAGATGAAGACCAAGAGAGATGGAACTTACACCAACTTTCTCATCTATGAGATGTCTAGCGAGCTCGATTTGCTGGGGAACCCCTCTGATTGTGAATATTCGTACGCCGGGGTCTGTGTTGGGAGGTGGGTTTCTCTGGAGCTCCACGTGGGCTCCCGACTGCTGATTTATGCTCTTGATGTTCTCACCACCTGAAGAAAAGAAAATCAAGACATAAGGAGGGATATCCTGCATCTCTTTCCACAAAACCATAGAGGAGTCAGGTTCTGGTGGCAAATTATGGTTTCAGCTGCCTTCTGTGTGCCTCAGGAGGTGGGCTGAGGATGGCAACAGCAAAAGAAACCACAGTACCTGGGCTCATGCTGCTCCTTTAACGTGCCACAAACATGACCTGCAGCCATGAGCTACTGCAAGTTTGGGTCATGGCATCATGGACAGTGCTGCTTTAAGAACACACAGCCCCCCTGCGTGCACACATCCCAACAAGATGCAGCATGGCTGGGATACACTCTGACAAAGCAGATGCAAAAACTGCACTGACTGAATTCTGGTGGTTTTGCACAGCTGTTGAAATCCTCCAGAAAAGAAGATAACCTGCAACCAAAACATGCTGCTGTGCTTTCTTTTTTTATCATCACTAAAGCAAAAAGCCACCAGCCACATACCTTGTAGCTGAACAAAGCTTAAGCTTTCTCCCAAACGTGCTGTTTGATAGGTTATTGCCCTAAAGCAGCCTCTGCTTTCACCCCGCAGCTACACATCCCTCCACAACCACAGCAGCACAGGATTCCAGGCTGTCTCCTGCTATTTCAGAGTTAGCTGTGCATGCAGTGAACATGTCTGGCTCGTTTGCCATCTGGATACACAAGAGCACAGGAGTGCTTCCAGCAGGATGCAGCAGGGCCAGTCACAGTGGATCTGATTTCCTCAAGACCTGCTAGGTCCCGGTCTCTTCATGAAATTTGCTTAACAAAAGCCTCAGCCAATGTTACAATGGTTCAATTCTTCTTTTGGAAGCTCACACAACTTACAGAGCAGCTCCACTCAACTGAAGAAATTAAAGGGTGCAGGATAGGAAGAGGTTTTAAAATTTTTAAAATCACAAACCAAAAAGTCATCAGCCCAAAGGACAAACAGCAAGCAGAACAGAGAGCAAAGGAAACTCACCAGAGATTTGTGTCTGGTTTTAATTAAAAAGAGTCTCCCAAAATAATCTCCTCAATTTTGCTCACATTTCCATCTCTATACATCCAGCACAACTTCAAAACAAACTGTGGATGTTGCAGACACTTGTTCATTTCATTGTAATGGACTCGTGACCTTTTTAACATTTTAAAGCCTTCTCGGGGAAGGGAGGAGGAAAAGTTGCCAAAGGGCAATTAACTCTTTCTAAATGAATTTTTGAAGATGCATTTAACAAAAGATAGTCGTGTCACATCCCTGGGCAGACAACAGGGATTGTACTGTGCAGCCAAAAGCCAACCCACTTACTTTCAGTCAAGCATGGGAAAGGGGGAAGATGAAGTTTCAAAACCAAGAAGGTTTTTTTTTTCCATGTAATGCTTTTGTCTGATGCAGACTTGTTTGAAGCTCTGTTTTTTACATATTGAGGTGAGATCTGAATCAACAGCCATTTCATCTGCTTAATGAAAACAGAGGACTCTTTCAGGCAACATAGTTTGAAGGAGTGGCAGAACTTCTTTACTGGGCGACCGAAGGACAACCAGGGGTTGCTACTTGCACTGCAGACCACTTTCTCCTTCCAAAAGGGGATTAGAAACTGAAGCACTCTCAAGCTGGAAGCAAGGGGTAATACAGATTTTAAATCACTGCTCCATTCAGCACCAAGTCCGTGGTTGTTGGGACTCTTTCCACAGCAGGTCTCTCCTAGACCATAGCACAGGATCAAGTTTGCTGCCGCTCCACGAGGGAGGCTGCAAGTTCCTATTCTCATACCAGGACCTGGTGCCCTTGTCCTCCTTACCCTCCTACAATGCCAAAGCGCTCCCTCCCATCCAAGCCATCCCAACCCAGCCTCCGGAGCATGCAAATGAAGTGACGCAGCCCCCGTGATGCTGCCGGGTGCCGGAAGGAGCCGATCCTCCCCACAGCGAGGTGACCCGCTCGGCACATGGTGGCTGTCTACAGGGCATTCATCCCGCTCCATTCTTCCACCTGATGGGGGGCAGGAGGGATCCAGGAGCGGCCTCCCGGCTGGACGTGAAATCGTAAAGCAATTAATCAAACCTGCTCAAAGCCGGGCTGACAAGCGCCGGGCCGGCCGCGGTATCTGTCAGGATCGCCGTATTTATCATGGAAATCCAGGGGGGCCCAGGGAGGGCTGTTTCCAAGCACCACCAAAACACAGACAGCGCTTGACATGTGTATGACGCTTGCCTCCACCCTTCCTCGGGGCCTTTGGAAGGGAAAAGCTGCACCTACCCACCCTCTAGAGGAAAAAGCCACGCACAGGATCCACGGGGAGCCCTGTCGGCTCCTAAAGGCTCACGCTCCCAAGCTGAGAAGTGATGTCCATAGGAAAAGGGCCCTAGACCTTCTACCACATGTGCTGCAGAAACTGAGATAAGAAACTTCCCTATCTCCCTCTTTTCCCTGTCTCAAGTGGTCACAGGGAGCTGGAAGCACAGCAGCAGTTACGTGGCCACATCACATACACCACACTGGGGGCCCGGGGCACCCATGGCTTAGGTGCTGATCTGGAGATCAAGCTGATGGTCCAGAGGCCTCAGCCAGATTTTACAGAGAAGCTCAGCAGTCCTGTCCTGTAACCTAGTGGGAAAAAACACCCAAAAGCTGGAAACTGCTCAGAAACTATAAAGGGGAGTAACTGTTTTATAATTGGTCACTATTAAAAAAAAGACCCACTAAGATCCCCTCTGCCCTGCACAGGAAGCAACAAGAACTGGCTGTCTTGCATCAATGTATGGAGAGTGTAGCACATCCATGCCGATCCAGGCCCCAAAAGGCAACACTACAGCCATCACTCACTTGACAAAAGTGAAGGCTGCAGCAGCCTAAGAGCATAGGCACTGTGAGAACACCGATTACAAGGTGGTATTACAATGCTACAAGCACTCAAATCACCATACAACTAGTAATTAGTCACTCCAGAAAGCTTCTGATCTGGCTGGGTAAGAATCCCTATTTTGCTGTTGTGGAAACAAAGGTAAAAAGCCACCCTTCACCCCCCAGTGAGGCTGTGCCAGGCCCTGCACTTGAATGGTAGGACGTTCTCTCCACTACCTGCATTTATCTTTTCAGCACGCAGTGCTCTCTGTAGTCACAAATGCTCCACTTCAGTGCACTGCAGAACAACAAGTGACCTTTTCTGATCCTTTATTAAGGATGACTAATGGATACAGCAATAAAGTTTCATTATAATTTGCTTTTCCCGTACATATAAGTCTCACTCATGGGCTTAAAATTTGCTTTGCTTGATCTTTCGCCCAACTGGCCTGTTCAGTGAGGACAAGCACAATCACCCTGCAATTTCTGCATAATGGGGAAAGCAGGTGGGTTTTCATATTGAAAAAAGTGTTCAGGTTTGTGGCACAGAACAACATCTGAAAACAATTGCAGATACGTGGCTGACCTGCCCGTGTCCCTTGTCATCCAACAAGGCAGGAGCTCAGGGTGCTGTGGGGTCAGACACATGGCAGGGAACAGCAGTGATGTGCAGCAGGGGAAAGAGGCCACACCACATCTCATCACAAGCTCAGTCCTGCCCAGAAAACTCCAAGGCACTGAAACATGTCACGATGCCCTCAGATCTCTGCCTCCTTTCCCGGTGTAGCTTGTCTATTCCTATTCCATTTGCTGAGGCTAAAAGCCAACTGTGATTACCTAAATACCAGTTAAGGCACATATCACTCTTTCTGAAATAAGCAGATAGAACAATTAAATACACCTCCTTTGATAAGTCAGTGCATTAGCTCAGACACATCACAACAGCTCAGAGCAACAGAGCTCTTCTACTCCTGGCTCTACCCTAAGTACTGCTCCATGTGTAGCTCCTGCTCTGTGACAAACTGAGACTGCTGCTGATGCTCAGAATCATAACCATTGTGGGGTTGTCCTGGTCCTTGAGAGGAAGGTCTGATGACTCCTCCTCCATCTCCTTAGCATGGAGAGATTCAATGGCTAAGGCAGCCAAGGGGCCTCCATGGCAGTGAACATGCTCCCAAGGTGCACCAGGTCAGGTGCCAGCCCAGATGTAGACAAGACAAATCCTGCTACTTCACTTTATTCATCACACACTTCAGGTATGTGGCTGGAAGCAGCTACTGTTATTACCACACTCAGAGACCTTCCATCTCATCACACAGCTCTCAGAAATCCAGCATGATGAAATGACTGCTCTGCTTGTCCCTGATAAACTGTCCTTTAAACGAATTCTATATCAAAAGAATCCACAAATGAACCTGCCTTTTCTCAGCCAGCTGCTTGTTATAACAAGCTTATTTGACAGCTCTGCATGAAGAGCCTCTCTTACAGCTTGTGAACAAGGGCCTGGAGAGTACAATTATGAGTGAGAGCACCACAAAGAAAACAACCACAAGCGGTTATAGCTTATTCCTCTGCTGCATTCACCGGCCACTAAATACCTACAATTACAGAAAACTCCAAAGCTTCACTGTCAGGCAGCAAGAACGTGACCATCCTGAGAGGGAACGATTGCAAGCTCTGGTATTTGGAGTCACCAAACCCACCTTTGCCTATAACAAGCCCACACTTGTCAGCTGGCACCGTGTAGGTTATTTCCTGCATGCCCCCGGGCGTTCCGACGCTCCAGTCCCCACGGCCACGGCCTCTTCCTCGGGCGACAGCCAAGCTTCCAAAGCCATCTCGTTCCTTCCAAGGCAAAACAAGTGTATCAGTGGTTTTTTTTGCTGGCCCCAGTGCACATTAGAAAACAAAATAAAGCAAGGTAAGTTAAACTGGCTCGTAATCAGTGGCGCTGGATTAAGATATTCTTGGACAGCAGTTTCACACTGAAGGTTTTGAAGCACTTTAAAGAAATGCCAAGTAATGTAGGTTACAGTTGCCTTCCTGACTCAGGAAGATATTTATATTTTTAAATGCATGCCTATATATCTTCTGAAATAAACCTATAAATAAGCATCAACTACTAAAGGTCTTTCAGTCTGTGATGGGGGCTCTCTTTAAAGCAAACAATAGATCTTGGCACAGACACACACAGGAGTTGCTTCCAAACCCTTTCAAGTGTCAATCCTTTAAAGAACTGCTGGAATTAGTCAGCTGAAACTCACATTTTCCAGAACTTCCAGAGGAGGCTTTTAAGTTCAAAGACATGTAAAGGACGTACCTATTTTGGGTAACTGATTTCTCCAAAATCAAAAAGCCATGGGCAGTCAGAGCTATCATAACAGACCTCAAAACTTCAGTGGATTATTAAAAAAATTAATAAAATCAAGCATTCAAACCAGATCCTGGGCAAGAAGAGTTATCAAGATGGACAAATTATGGACCTTGATGGACAAATTATGTTCAGGTACCTGATATGGCCTAAAGTCTTAGTTTCTTACAATGCAAAAGGGAATATACAACCTCCTTCATGAGTCTGCCCTACTACTTCACCCACCTTTGTACTTCTTGCTCTTGGGCAATGCAATATGTTGCTGTGTCTTAGAGCACAGTGTCTCAATACCTGAACATTTATCACCCTCCTGTGCCCTCCCACCAGACCAGAGGGCTGGAGTCTGAAGAGGAGGCACCACTGAGTGCTGGCAATGCTCTGCTGTCTGAGCAGAGCCTCCAGTCACTGCCTGATGTGACTCCACTCCACCAGGTCACCATTTCCAAACAACTTAAGTTCCCATATGTTCCCACAGAAGCTCTTTCCCGAACTCACCTGTGCTGTGAGGATGAGCTCATTGATGATGTGGGCTGCGTGTTGACACCTGTCAGGAAGCCCCATGACCTGTGCAACTCTTTCAGAGCTAATCCCATCATCTGTGAAGAGAGGTGGCAAAGACCAAATTAAAAGGAGAAAACATCTACTCGCCAACACAAGCTTCCTTCCAGCACCACCACTGCTGGCAGCATTTTCACACAACAGAACTATCCCAGGAGCTACTGCTTCCCTCCACCTTCAGCCCCTCTTCCCTGGACTGAAAGAAGACAAAACCCAGCCCACACTGCAGAGGGAACAACACTCAAAAGAAAACACACTTTCAAATGTCAAAAAGCCACGAAAGAGATTGATATAATTTTAAGAGGACAAAAGGCAGCTTTGATAGGTGATCAGACAGCCAAGGACCCAGAGAAAGTTACTCAGAATTAATCAACTCCTGATCCCCAAAGGCTTTAATGTCCTGAAGGAGAATTCTTTAACAGGAAATAAAAGATTTTTGTTATTGTTATTTTGTTTATCCGTACAGTTACCACTCAAGACATGACTGTTGTGACAGCTAATGTTTGCAAATGAGCTGTATATAATCTTACTCTCTGAAAACCAGAAGTGCATGAGGAGGCAGCACATCATATTTAAATGGGTTTCAGAAAGAGAACAATGCACCTGTAAATGAGGAAAGCCTAAGCTGCTGGAACCTCAGCTCAGATTCACTTTAGCAATCCCAAAGTGGAACACTGGTCAGAAAGTAACGGCTCTCCATCCTCACACAAACCTGGTTTAAATTGAATCCTAACTCCAGCATCATTCTGAATCTTTTTGATCATTTCTCCATTTCTTCCTATCACAATTCCAACAGCAAACCTGGGCACAGAGACCTGATGGGAAAGGCAAAGGAGTATGAAAGCTCAGAGAACTAGACTGAATGACTCTGATTTTACAAGGAGATGCTCTTTAACTTTGAGGACGGGCCATGTTAGGCAGCTCCAGGCTACAGAACTGCATTGCTAGAGAAAAACAAACAGGTGGCCACAAATTCCTTCCCCACTAAACGAACTCTGCACTACAAGAATGCAGCTTAAAAAAAAGAGACAATTAGAAAGGTGCCATCTGGGAGTCCACGAGAACTCCTCCTCTTCGCGGCCAGACTCAATTCTTCTGGCAAAAGAACACAATGCATTTCAAAACAATGTTACATGTGCAGTTTGATGACTTCCACCCACTGCCCACCCCACAGGGAGGTTAGCAGAGCACTCGTGACGGAAACGTACCTCTATGCTGCCTCCTCCCATCCTAGCACTGAAATCATTGCGCACGCCTCGGAAGTCTGCCTGATCTTTCTCTCGGATGATCTCCAGTACCATTTCCCTCGCTTGCTACATGGGGAAAGAAGTTACAGTTAGCTTAAAATTGTTCTGCTTGCCCTCCTGGTGTTAGGGCCTCGACAGTGGCTCCAGGCACAGGGATCTCCACCTCCTTAACGGGAACAGCATTTTGATTTAGGGTTTCTTTTTACCACAGTCAGTGGAGATCTTGATGGCATCTTCCACGTCTGACAAAACCTGCCGAGTGCATAAGGTGGCAGCTTGTTGTGTGCAATTGCTTCCTCCAGTCTTTCAAAAAGGCCCTTTACCTTTTAAAGCATCTTCGATTTTTTGTTCTATTTTTAGATTACAGGAAGTGAAGGCCCTTTCCTACTGGGTATCAGTATAGTAAGGTAGAAGCTGAAGTAGCACAGCAGAGATCACGTCCACCAAGAGCCAGAGAGCACGTACCAAGGAGGCAGGTGGGCAGCAGTGAGCTTACTGTCTCAGTGAAAAGTTAAGCCCAAGTCCGCAGCAATCCAGCAAGATGTTTTCTGAGACAAGTGACTATTCCTCCTACCTACTGGGAGCCCTCAAGGCCATTCACAAGCCTGCATGTAGCCCAGCTAGTAAAAGGGTACCTTGGAAATAAGCCAAGAGTAGTCACCATTAAAAAAAAAAAGGAAAAAAAAAAGCCTACATGTCAAACCCAAGCCTTTGTTTCTCTTTATTATCAGTCAAGCTTTGACACCTGGGTTCTATTTCCTAGCTTGAGGGACAGTGATGAATCTAACTCCTTAAATTTTTACATATTTTCCATGTTTCCAGGGTATCTTTTACAGAAGGAAACAACAACATCAATTTCAGAGATGTCAAGGCAGAAATAAGGGCGATGGAGGGATTTCATAGGGATTTGAGGGGGTTAAGAACCACTGTTGCAGTATCCACAGAATCCCACCAAACCCAAGGATTCACCATGCTTCTTGAGTGCTTTCTAAGCATGCTCAACTTTAAGTGCCTCAAAGATCTTCCAGCCCGTGCAGTCTCCATGTTTCCTTGGAGTGACATATGGCACAGAAGATGTGACAAGAGCAAATCTTGCAAGGCAGAAGCCACCTGGGAAGTGGCAGCACTGAAAGTACGATTTGGTTAAAAGTAGCCAGACTGCCATTACACTCCTTTCTGCACAGCTATACCTCCACAGTAAGAATGTTGGGGGGAAAAAAGTATTAAATCTAAAAAAAGTATTAGATCTTGCAATAAGATCTTTGAAAAATACAACCCAAACACACTGTCCCCGAGCAACATCAACTGTTGCAGCAATTTATGATTAGGGAGATCCTATGAAACAGAACTACTTTTATTGGAGACAGGAATGCTAAGCTAGATTTAAGTACTTAGCAAGGTATGAAAGGCACTTGCTGAGAAGTGAAACCATGGCTGAGAAGTTTAGCCATGGCTCAACTTTAATGCTTTAATTCAAGTGCTCCCATCAGGCTGCAATCCTCCAGTCTCCGGCCGATCGTGGGTTTTAGTTTGAACCGCAGGTATGTCCAGGTCTGTAGAACCCTGACACAAGCACACTGAGGTACCAATATTAAGCAAACCCCTTGGTTTCAGGAGTTGTTTTGGGATAGTTTCTTTTAATTACCTGCGTCAATTGGCTGTCTGAGAGTTTTGTGGAAGGTCCACTGTCTCAAACGTGTGATTTAGTCACTCACTAAGAACCCATTTGCTCAAGTGACAGAGCTGGGATTTTTTGCCACACAGACTGGAAAGCATTTCAAAGCTACTTTCTCCAAACCCTCCTCATCTCTACTCCTACCCACGTGTAATATTTATGTGGAATGACAGCTCCTAGGTTATGCTGTAAACAAGTTAGTCTGGTGTTTTAACTTGCTCTACTCAACCTTACAGAACAAAACCAGCATGGATTATTACTTTTACAGTTGGATTTGACTCCATCAGATGCTCACAAATACACTGAAGTTTAAATTTCTCCTCAGTTCTCTGGTGCAACCGCTCGCTTGTGTTACATACCTGTACTTTAAATGCATCTCCAGTAATACGGAGAGGTTTGTCTGCTCCAGTGGGCAAAGGACCATCCTGGATCATGATCATTTTCACCCCCGTTCGCTCCTGAAGAAAAAGCACAGAGCACTTTGCTAAGCAGAGTCCCTGAAAAAAGGGACTAGATCTTGGTTACTCAACATTACGTAGGTGAAATCAGCACCTTTACAGAATGCTACTTTAGCTCTTCACGAGCAGTTATAGCACAAATTCAGTAACAGTCCTAGAGTGTGAAGGACTGCCAGAAAGTGTGCCACTCCTGAAGCTCTCAAATAGCTGAATCCTTGCAAGGAGAACCCCCTCTACCTTGACAGCTGATTTTCCAACCCTTTCCAAAATCTGTAGCTGTCTGCATGTAACAGTTACTGTGTGACCAGCCTCAAAACTATTACGACAGAGGTCTAACCAGGGCACTCAAAACCCCTACATTTTTTGACATAGATGCTTTTCTAAAACCCTTTACTCTTTAAAAACTTGTACCAGGTGGAGGAATAAAGAATGTCTAGGAACATAGTTTATACGTAACACAACACTTTTAATTAGAAAGGGGTGGGATGAGGAAAAAAAAGATGACACACACCAGCTTTATCACAGATATGCAACAGAGAAGCACAGCACTCTACAACAGCATGGCTGGCATTAAAAATACTGCAGAGCAGAGCAGACACAGCCCTTCCTTGGCTACAAGGATCCCCTCCTGAACAGCTCACAGCAAGTGTTATCTACAGCACATGGGTTTCTGTCACAGTTCTGGCAAAACTCCACTACCTGCGTAGCTGGGGCCACACCGATTTTGTTTGTAACACAAGATTGGATTTGAGTCCAGCTCTCTGAAGGCAGAAGAGTAGTCCCTGCTGGAGAAGGTTAGAGCATCTAAAGCTCTCCATTTCAGCCCGCTCCTGTCGATCTAGAGAAGCTGCAGTAGGGAAGAGGAGCCCTAAAGGAAATGCATCTTGCGCACCTGCAACTGTTTTATTGTTTCACCTCCTTTGCCGATGACTAGACCCACTTTGGATGCCGGGATCAAAATCTCCTGAATGGTACTGTTGCCATCAACATCGTTGTGAAAACCAGGTCCGTTCCGACAGCGATCTACAATCTGCCCCAGTAGCCGTTTTGCTTGTCTTTGGAAAAGAATCGAGGGAAACAACCATTAGACAACATTGTTCCACGTGACCAAGAGACCAGGAACCATCGGAATGGAAAGTGATCAGGGGGAGGAGAAGAAGTGAAAAGATGGAAGAAACCATAGTCAGCACAATGTTTGCCTTTTTTTTTTTAAACTCTTTGATATCTATTTTCCCCTATCATGATTACTTAATAAGCAGTTTGATTTTTGAAAGGGGAAGAGAGAAGAAAGAGCAGCAGCATGCTCTGACCTCTTAGGAAGTTAAGGACAATAGTTGGACTATAGCATTTGGGGTGCTTACTTTCAGTGAAGATGCTTTAGCTTCTGAACTTTCCTAACACATACAGTATTTGGTAAAACTCAAATTCTGTTCTCCTTCTCAGTCAAGACAAAACGTACACACTGCTCTGACACTAACACAGCCCATGGATTAACCATTCTCTGATCAGTCCCAGGCAACTGCCTTGCTCTTCTCTGCCTGCTCTTACCAGCAGCACCAGAACACTGTCCTAACACAGCCTCTGCTCCAAGCAGTAGGTGCTGAAGCTACACCGCGAAGTGAGGCAAGGATACTGCAGCAGCCAGCAGTGAAAGACTGGGTTCTTCTACTCCTGGTGAGAAGAGACACACAAAGAAGCATTTGGGAGATTAAAGATCCCTCCACTAAAATATTTAGCACGTCAGAGGTAACTGACAGGGTTGCCCCTCATCTTGATGACTCCTATACCAACACATCCCATTCCTGCCCTTGTCCCAACACCCTTCTGAAAGTCAAAGAAATTCACTGGTTCCCTGCTCATTCCAATGCAGCATCTTCCCCTCTCTCCACTTCACACCAAGCTGTGGCACCCTAAGAATGACTGCCTTCTCTCTGGGAATTTGAGGAAGCAGTACAAAGTCACCCCTTCAAGCAGACATTCACCCAAGGCAGCTCAGGGGGTGGTGCTGAGGCTGCACACAGAGCAGAGCACCCCTTGCTCTCGTCTTTCTCACAAAACAAGGGAAAAGGTGGAATTTCTGGAAGCCCACTTCAAATATTCTAGAGAAGTCTTAAAGAGTTTTATTTATCTATCTTCATATTTTGCACAAAGTTCTTCTAGTCACAATATAAAGACCACAACAGTTAATACACAACATATTTCAGATGAGAAGGGGTCACTTGGAAATTAACCCTATTAGTTTGCCACTGGATATAACTAATGAAAACATTTCTCACAAAACCCTTCTCAAAGAAGTCTGACATCTAATTGGTTTCCTTTCTTCATTTTCTTTTTCTACAAGTAGTCTGAAAAAATACTTCAAACAACCACCTTGACAAGAATTTTAGCACAAAAGTAAATTAAATTTCACCTAATTCCACGTCCATGTTCTGCTTCACAAATTGAGTATTCTCACTTCTAAATGTATTAATGTTTTATTTAAAGGACATGACATTTAACTGCTTATTTCAGAACCATGAAGTCTTAACTATAACTCTCCCCCCTTTTTCCCCAACTGCATCAGGCATCCCAGCTTTTTAATATTTTGCTCTTGTTCTGAAATATCCTTTGCTAAAGGGGGAAAAAGCACTTCAATACCAGCAAGAAGACACCGCTTGCCCTATAATGTGAGTCTGCCAATTATATTTATTCTGGCTCACTGCTTGCAGTATTATGGTAGAATAAGGAGATTTAAGTACCCTTAGATCTCTTAAGAATGGAAGAATGATGAGTGTCTTCTCTTTAGAGAGACAGTCTTTGCACCCATGTATTTTCACTATCAAATGCAACTCAAAGATTTCCAGATGGATTTTAAAAAACCCACCTACCCAAAGGCTGGGGAGAGAAAGAGCAGCTCCATATGTTAAGTGTGTTCCTGTAAGCCTGAGGATCCTGGATCCAGTTCCAGCAGGAGGTCCTCAACTGGTTTGTGAGAGTCTCAAACTCAGCTCCTGGGAAGGGGGAGGGAGGAAACACTGTCCCTAAAGTTTCTATAGGACTAAAGATCAGAAATCCCTGCGGGCTTGGCCACGTGTCTCTACCATGCAAGGAGCAGAATCAAGACTCGGGTTCAGTCCTTTGCTTCTTGTTGGCAGCGATGCAGAGACAAGCACCCAGTGGGCCTCATGCTGCTCTGCAACAACACCAACACCTCCAGGGTATCCTGGAGTGGCACCTCCAGGCTTTACAGGCCTCATGCAGCCCTTCTTCAGCTGGAAGGATGGTCATCTCAATAGGAGTAGGGAAGCGAAGGGGAGAAGAGAAGTGCCCTTCAAACAGCTTAGCTCAGTATCCTGGAAAGCTGCAGTTGGAAAACTGCATCCTAGGTGCCCTAAGAGCAACCTCACCCTGCGGAGGGGAATTCCAAGGAAATTTCTGCAGAGGATTCAAACTGCAAGTGGAAAAAAAAAAAAAAGCCTTTGAGGTGCACGGTTTAAAGCATCAGACCAAGAGGTTCTATGCTCCAGAGACCCTCAAGTTTCTCTAGGCCAACATTTGCTGGTGTGGCTAATAACCAAGTAGCACCACTGACAGAGCGCAGCATTAGGGAGAAGAGAAAGAAGGAAAAAGGAGGGAAATGAAATCAGAACTCACTCAATGCTCTCTGGTGTCCCGGTGAGTACACAGGGCCTCTCGGGCATCCCACCACTGTCTGCAAAGGAAACAAGAAGAAAATTTGTAATACATGGAATTAAAAATGTGGCAGCTGTTTCAGTAACTATCAAGCACCAATGGAAGCAACACCCCCCTGCACGCAGAACATGCTAAAAGAATTCAAAGACATCCAGGATCAACATATTTTAAATGATTTACTGGATGTCTGCATTCCTTTAAAGCCTTCCCCACCAATTAGAGGGAGGGGTAAGAACTCAGATGACATTCATCAATAGTTCCATGTACAGCACTGCAGCACAGCCTTCTCCAAAGCAAACTAGCACAGAACAATGATCCCATTTGGGTGGATGGTCCCATTTTATGATGCAAAGCAAGCACGGAGAGCTGCTGCCACCCTCCTGGAATGTCTTCTGCCAGGACTTGGAGCTGACCAGACTAGTCAGAGGCAAACCACAGAGCTGAGCAAAGTGGCACCACCAGGAGGGAACCCAACAAAATGGACTGTCCATTTGCACTGTACTCCATTTGCATTGTGCCATTCCCCAAACCACCTGACAAACCTGTTCTCTCTGCTGGCTGGGAGGTGGGTCCCACAACAGCTCTCCCATGCCTGTATCCCTGTTAATGGTGATAACACACCGGGATCATGGGAAGTACCTGATCTAATGGCCACAACACCCTTCAACATCAAAACCTGTTCACCCACCGTACAAAGAGCCTCTTACCTGGAGCAATTTGAATTTTGCAGCCAGACTCTGCCTGAATCCGTGAGATCTGTTCTCCTCCCCTGCCGATTACTGAAATGAGTTCAACAAGCATCAGAACATACCATTCTCCCAGGTAACTGCAGAGCACCTTCCCCCTTTTACTCCTCTGCAGCTATCTATAAAGGAACAGTTTGACTCCAGGATTGCAGAAGAGACATCCACAGCATGATCAAATTCATCACAGCAGAAAAAAACCACTAAAATACTGCTGAAAGTTATTCTATTTGCTTGCAAAAACAAACCAAAAACCCTGTCTTGCACTGGAAAGGAAATACATAAGGCACTAGTTTGAGTGCGGCTAGAAGAGTAATTTAAGTACATCTTGTTCAGCCTGAATCAATAAGCCAGTTATCTGGGGGACTAAAAAACACAGAGACTTTTATTTCTTTAAAATTCCTGGTTTACTGCCATTTTTGAATGGCCATGCTATTTGGCTGGTCTGCATTTAGACAGAACTACATCCTGAAATGCTCCATCAACCTCAAGCGAACACAAAAATCCATCTCCCTTAACTCTCAGAGTCGACACATTGCTGTTTCACAATGAGACACACAGAGGACAGACTGTCCCAATACCCATTCCTACCCTTCCCAGACTGCAAAAAGAGCAAAACTGTCAAGTCAAACAGGTATGCCTGGCTCAGGATGCTCCCAAAGAAGCATCCCAGCTGTGGGTTTGCATCCCCCACATCTGTGTGCCCCTGAACCAGGACCACATTGAACACAGAGATGATGCCTGCAAAGCTCCCCTCTTCCAGGGCCAAGCATCCCTCCAACACTGCCCCACATGTGGCACCAGGATTGATAAATAAAGAGGTCTGGCAGGAGAGGAGTGAGCATTTCCTTTGCAGGAATTTGAGTTACAGTCTTATGGTGTCTTTCGAGTCGGGACAAAACTTGGCGCCCTATGGGGTAATTATCACGGCCTGTTATTTTCCTTTTTACTCTCCATATATCAAATTGGAAGGGATACACAGAGACCCAGCAGTGGAAGAGTCTATGCAATCACTGTAGTAACACATCAGCAGGAGGTGCCATTGAAAGGAAGAGTAATGATCATTAAGAGGAAGAGAGAAATTAGGATCAAGCTTGAAAGAGAACAGTATCAGGAATGCAAATGCAGCAAAAATTCTCATCTGGTTGTGTTTCCCTGCAGCAAATGTAGGAGAAATTTAAGATTCTGTTTAACTTGCCTTTAGTCAACTCATATTTTAACATTTAAAATATGGTTCCCTTCTTCAGCTCTCATGGTTTTGCATACTCAAAGTAAAATGTTTCAATGAGGGGAAATAAATTCACTTTTGACTTGTTTATGTATTGTGCTAATGGGAATTTAAAGGAGAAAATCACTAGAACTCCTAGTAACTTGTACCAAATGCTCTTCTTTTTATTACAGGGACACCAAACTTTTCCATGCAGTTTGCATCTGGATTTTAAACACAGATCCTCTGGTCCCCACGAAGACAGCATTAAACAAGGCTTATCCAAGGCTAGTAAGCACAAAAACCTGTGTCAGAATAAACAGCATTCCTGCACAGGAAACACATCAAGAAGCATCAAAAGCATCAAGGTACTTACTAAATCCAACCATTTTATCAGGCACTTTGAACTCTTCTGTTATTACAGCCCTAAAAGAAGAAAAAAAAAAAGAAAAGAAGAAATCCCCATCAAATAGTCATTATAAAGAACAATTTGGAGACAATTACATCCCTGCCATGAAAGCTGGGCTCAGCACAAGGATTCTGCACACACCACAGTCAAAATCATTTGTTTCTGAAGGGCCCTCTCATGGTCACCCAACTCCTCCTATGCTGGATCCATTTCCAGTCTATCTCTGCTATCTTCAATGGAGCTGATGGAAAAACCTCTTTTTGTCATTCTTACAGACAGGTTTAACAAAAAAAAAAAAAAAAAAAAGGCAAAGTTTCCTTAATATTGAGCCCAGACCTTCCAAGCAGCATCTGCCAACTGATCTGGATATGCTCTACCCAAGACACACTAATCAAAGCCAGTCCTGGCATGACCCCCCTCCAATATTCACTGGTTTGGTGTTCTGGGGTTTTTTTTTGCCTGTTTGTCCTTATCATTCTTTTCCTTGGAATTAATAAAAGTTGCCTTTAATTATCCTCTGAATTCTTATTATCTCAACACTTCCATATCTATTGCTCTTTGGACTTTTTCAATGTGGCTCTGTCTCAAAACAGCACCCAAAGCAGTTTCCTAAGACCTGGCTGTAAAAGGAATTAACTTGGTTATTTTGTTATGCCATCTCTGTCTTGTGGAAAACACAACAAAATGAATATGAAATCTGCATATATGCACTCTATACCGTTTGTTCAGCAATGAAACACCTGCATAGTAAATTCAATGCACGTTTTGTGGTGAGGTATTTTAAAATGTTCCCACTTTTTGTTTTTGATCAGTTAGGGAAGGTATAAAATACACACTGTATTAGTTAAGTTGCAGATAAAGTACTAACACTGCCCACCTCTTTCTGGGCTGTTCTAGCTGGACATTAGCTTTAACTTAACCATTAAAAATTCAAGGTTCTACAGTCTTCATGCACGTTTTTTGTCCCTTCTGCTGAGGCCCCAAACAGCTGGTCAGGATGGAAATGCACTACTATTCACCTTCAGGCTAATGCAGCTTTAGAAGAGCTCTCCCCCCTTCCTACTCAAAACAAGACAAACAACACCTCAAGACCAGGGTTTGAGAAAAAGTGATAATTTGACATTTTTATTAGATGCTAAGATGTGCTGCACGACAACTCATAGTTGCTTCAGTCTCCTAAAACCATCTTTGACAAAGGAGTCATCCCAGGTCATATTACATCAACAAAACTAAATAATAATAATAACAACAATAACACATCTGTTTGATACTTCCACCATTTGTCAAAATGCCAGACCTTTTTAAACTTTTTCTTTTTTGCCCCCTGCCAGGGCAGGGGAAGGGAAAAGAGAGAGAATTTATTTTTTTTTTTGGTCCTGCAGATTTACAGGAGACAAATCCAAGTTTCACATCCACTCCTCTTTTTTTCATCAGAACAAATAGCCCAGGCTGGAGAAAACCCAAGCTGACAGTTTCTCCACATTCTCAACCTCTGACTTCCTAACACTACTACAGATGGTGGATCAATAAACAATTAGAACTGATCAATAAATAATAAAACATAACCCACTGCTTACCTTTGATGTACCAGGGCCCCTAACTGGTTACCTACTGTGGCAGAGAGAGAAAAAAGGGAAAAAAATCAAAGCATTAGCACGGATAAACTAACTTCATCCCTACAGAAAAAGAGTTCTTACCGTTTCATCAAAAAAGAAAGAAAAGCAAAACAGTAATTTAGGTTCAGTGGCTGAAATGAATGCGTTATGTGGTACAAAACAGGAGGGGATTTCTTGATCAACACACACCATAACCCAGTGTCCAGCTGAACACAGGATAGGGAATTGATCCGTGTCTCCCCATGCTGAGAGTCATGGGAGAAAATCCTGCCTGCCCAAATCCAAATCCCTGCAACTAACCTCCCCCCTTCCCAAATTAAGCCCAAAGTAGTTAAAAAAAAAAAAAAAGAGTAAAAAGGGAGGAGGGACAAGAGAAATTTCAAGCAGACTGGCACGTATTAAAAACAAGAATAAAAGCTGAGCAGAGTCAGAGATTCACTCAGTCCAGGCCAAAAGCATTAGGGACCGCTGGCACATACTTCTCTCTGTGTCTCTGATCTGTGCTCCATGGAGCCCACTTACACGGAGACCTGTTAAAGGAATAGGTCTGTTAAGTCACCTCGTGACACCCAAACAGTATTTAAGCCCAACCAAACACATGTTCCTGAACACACACATTGCAGGCATTTCTGCCACGTTCTCTGGTGGGCCTCCTATGATCGGTTATCTCCCCACTGACACCCCTCAGACAGACTTCTCTCCCCCCCCAACCTCAACAGATTAGATCTTTCTTCCAAATGTTAATAGGGAAAATATCATTAGACCAACTCATGCAAAGTGGGAACACGTTCCCTGCTGAGCTTCCTACTGGACTTTGCCTGCAGCAAACCAGCTAAAAACCAGACCATTTGGTGCTAACAACCAGTTGAAAGATTATATTGCATGTCTGGAGGGCACAGGGAGCAAAACAAATGAAGCTGGCCAACATGTGAGCTGTGATAATAAAGATGCTGTTCCAAACTACCTTGCAGCAAGCTGCACATTCTTTGACCTGAAATAAATTGGCAATCAGCTGGCAGGGAAAGAAAGTGGATGCATCTCACACTCTCTAAACCCAGTAGAAAAATGCATAAAGTTTGTGGCCAAACACTTTACTCAGAGAAAATAGACAAAGAGAGTCAATACTGTATTTCTGCTGCATGTCAATACCTTCGTAATAGTTCTGGACCATAATATTGACAGCATATATATTTTATTACTCTCCCCAGCTCGGTGATAAGACAACTGCTGCTTTATTGACTCTGCTACATTTGTCTTTGCATATTCTCATCCGGAATATAAAAAGCTCTAATTTGATAACTATGAATATTGCAGTTGAAAAAGGTAGGTGATGTAATGGGGATTATTTGCTCTGACTGATAAGCTCCTACCATGGAGCTGAGCAAACAGGACCAAATTCAGAATCTTGCCCCAAACCGCACTGCAGATATTTTTAGTACACCCAGTAGATCTGGTGGCTGTTGGTGTAGTGTGGGGTTGCCACAGCCAAGGCCACTCATTATCAAGATGCCAGGAAGAGTGGTTTTAACTGTGCAAGGCTGTATTTAAATATTCACTCGGCATTTCCATTCACCGTGGCAGCTCTGAGCAGCCTGTTCGCTGCAGCCGCTGCCCACAAATTATGAGACAGATACACATCCTATAATCAACTACCCAAGTTCATGCAAGGAAGGGAAGAGCCTTCATTTTGTAACACAATCCTACACTTGAAAAAGACAACTTCTTAGGGGAAACCTGTACGAGCACGGGAAGTTAAAGGAGTCATGGAATTAATGCTTTAGATGTATGTAACAAGGTCTCCAACCCATTCCAAGTACTATCCAACCATAATAAGCCATTCACCACTCCAGGCAGATTTCAGCCTTAATGTAGGTTTATTGTACAAATTACTTAAAAAAAATAATGCCATAAAAGCTTATGTGAGAGACCATTCCTTCCATATTTCACAGATAACCTCTCCAAGAGCTGAGACTGAAGGCAGACGGAGAGAACTGGAAACGATTTACTTCCAGTCAGTTATGATTTCTCTCTGTTTTGGTGGGGAAAAAAAACGACCTAAAGGTCCATTCCTTCTCCAAAATGCCCATTTTGCTCTGAGAAACAGGGACTAATAGAGAGGCAGGGCTGGGGCAGCCCTTGCTCGCTGTAATTCCGAAAGCTGATGCACCATTCCACTGTCTCCCTTCACACCAAGGAGGGGGCTGAACTCTTGACAAGCCACGTACATATTTCCCCATTTTACATCTGTTGAGTACAATTTAACTGTAACTGCAGTCATTTTACTGCAAATAAGGAAAAACAGTGAATAAAATCAGCACAATTTCCTACTAATGGCACCTGCTGGTTGATAACTCTTCATTCTGCTTTAGGCTTCACCTTAACTGAATTCCACCTTACAGACACTCAAAACAAATGCGGATTTTTTTTCCACCCCATAAAACAGAGCAGTGCCTCCCACTAAATTAATGTGCATGATGGGAATATACAATCTTGTCAAGAATACCTTCATGGCTAGAATAAAATCAGAGTGACACATCTCCCAGAGAGCAATGGAACAGGGCTGCATTTCATACTTTTGAACCAAAGTGCTACCATCATAAATTTTAGAAGGCTACAAGAGATTAGTTAACCTAATTCTTCATCATTAAATACTGCAAGGTTTTTCTTTAATTAAGTGGTCAAAACCTAATAATTTTTGTGTCTGCCTCCACTGCAAATCTTTATAGGTGTTTTTTCCCCTCCCTTAAACTGCCTTATTTAAAAAATGACCATCTGTAAAGTTGCAATTTTGCAGAACATTTTGTGCATTAAGCTAACCTTCTGCCAAGAGACCTGGACTTCTGCCCTGGTCCTACTGCTGCTGCAGAGGTGTCAAGGAGCATCAGCACTGACTTTCACCAGCAGCAAGATGGGGATAAAGTTTCCTTCCTCCCACCACTATTTTTATTGAAAACATGTTAGAGCAAAGAAATAAAGTCCTCTGTACAACTGGATCATGTTGTGTTTGAGCCTCTCAGTTCTACAAAAATGAAATGTTATTACACCAAGACAGGCCATCTTCATATCTGGGTGCACCAGAGGAGCTTGGGGAGGTGAAAGGGGTGGAGGGGGGTGGTCTGTGAAGCTTCTCCAAGGTCTCTCATCTTTGTTTTCCCAGAATCAAAGGATGCCCCAGCCCTCAGCTGCAACACTGCTGCTGAACCCTACAGATCTCACAGGACACTCCCTGAAAGCAGCCCAAAGCAGGGCAAACAAAGGTAACATTCTCATCAGTCTCTTTCCAGCAGACTGGATCCCTGCTTCCTATGAACAAAAGGAGGCTGCTTCTCTAAAGATTATTTAGCATCAAATAAATTTATTAAATTGTGCTGGTAATTAGAGGGAGCTATTAATTAGAACAGAGGCCAGGGGAAGCCTTTGGCCTGCTGGGATCTGTCCTCAGCAGCAGCCACAGGCAAGATGCCACCAGGTCTCTCTGCAGGACTCACCTGTCCCATGCTCACCTTTGCTGTGAAACATTAACCCCTGCAAGTGGCCACAGAAATGCTGGATACAACTTCCTGGGAGCAGTACAATAAACCTGATCTCTTCCCTGTACTACAGATATTTTCAGGATTATTCTAAAGTTGTTTCCAGAAAGGGGAAATAAAGAAGCCAGGGAAAAGAGGAATAACAGTCTCAAGCTCCAACACCCCCAGGCCAGGTCACCAGGGCTGAGCCTACAGCTCTTGGGTTCAGATGAGGGTTAAAGTTAAGGGAAGTGCAAAAAGCACTCACATTCTGGTTTCCAACACGATGACAAATCTATTTTTCCTGGAAATGCTTTAAAGGCAGCTGCATTTGTTTTGATCAGTGCACTGTCACCTGTCTTAAGACCACTTCCTAAGCTGCCAGCCAGCCACAGCAGCAGCTGTTTACAAAAACAGACGGGAAGAATTAGATTGTCCTGAAAGACAGACAGTTTTCCTGTCACCTTAAATACTTCCTCTGGAGCCAATTTTTTCCAGCAGTATTAGCAACAGCATTAATTTCCCAAGAGCTGCATGGGGATAAGGAAGCAGTGAGACCTGCACCCAGCTGTGAACATGCAGTATACAGGGGTAAATATCCCACCAGATTTGTTTCCAAGCTGTCCAGAGCAGCAAAAGGTATCCAAACCCCTGCACAGTAACATTTCTAGAGCATGTGTAACAACACAATTGCTCCTTGACAGTGCCTCCAAACTGTGATTCACAGACAAGCAGAAAATGGAGACAAGTGTGGACATGCAATCCTGACACCCCTCCAAATAGAAAGTGATTTCCTACTGTAAGTGTCCTACCTTCCAGATGCTAAAGGTAAAGCTGCATTATAGACTTTTAATGTCCTGGCAGCAAGAGCAGGTAGCCCAAGACTAAGATATGGATCACACCACAAACATACAGAGCAAGGAGGACTGGCAGCTTCAGGAGTTGCTTTGCCAGGCTGCAGGTAAAGACTAGCACAGGAGTATCACACAGGTAGGTGGGGAGCTCATCACACACCTGTATCTCAGTACAGGACTTGCTAATGCCACTAGAAATAAAACCAAAGCTGAAAGAAGCGATACAATCCCTGTTCCTACCTTGACAATTCCCGTTTTTTTGTGAAATTCCAGTCCTCTAAAAATATTACTTCCATCATTTCTAAGATCTCACAGATCAGATTTTTGGAAGGGGAGTGTGACAAAGCTATATACAGACGTATATGAACAACCAAAGGGCAAATACAAAAATGCTTTAAAAACAGCTACAGACAAGGTCCAGAACCAAACACAGGGTGAGCAGAACAAGAATACAGCAGTCAGGAGCAGCCAGTCTGGAAGGCTCCCCCAGGAACGATACCTGCTCCATGGAGTTATGTATCACAGCACAAGAAACCAGTAATAATGTACATTTATAGCCCAGACTGCAACAGTGCTGACACGGTCTGTGTCAACACAAACAAGGTTCAGCAAGTTCATGGCTCACCAGTGCAAGTTTAAGTACAAAGTCTAACCTGTGCTGTCACTAAGCCCTACAACCATTTCACATGTTACAGGTTCCTAAAACCCATTTTGTCAAGAGGTCAGATCTCTCAGTTCAGTCTGATGAATCAATGAAAGCAGGGCAAATGTTGTGAATGACTGGTTCCCAGAAGGCTATTTTTATTCTTTCTCACCCACAGCCGTGTCCCAAAGCTATTCAGACACAGCTCAGAGCTGTTCAGCATTCCCCAACAGGGAATGTGCACAGCCTGTGATGACTGAGCACCTTCCCCTGCAGAACCAGCACCCACCAGCACTGCCAGATCTCCTGCTTCTCAGATACAGTGATCCTCCAGCTTGAGATACAGTCCCAGACAAATCCCTCCTTTCCTAAAACCCTCAACCGAAGGAGCAGCAACCTGTTGCTCAGACAGAGCCAACAGCAGAGAACAGAAGTGGGTGGTGGCATGTGTTCAGAAAACAGTAACATTGCAAGCCAGGGGCTCCACATAAAAGAAACTTCTCCCCATGCTCCAGCATGTTCTTTCAGACTGAGGAGCAGACGTGCAGTTATTTTCAGCCTTTGTATCAGACAGAAGTAGGTTTTTTCAAAACAAAGTGCTAGGCAGCAGCCTTGCTTATCTCCTCAGTATTCCTGAACATATCCATGGGGGAGAGAATCACCCTGCAGGGCTACCTGTGTCAGGAAAAATACTAGAGCAAATAGCAAAAGGAAGGTATAGCCATGTTTTTCGTTTTTGTCATAATCAACCACAAGTAAAGGTGAGCTCTTTGCAGCTCTAAAGCAGCAGATAATACAGTTTAAACACTTCTTGTAACAATGCATACCATTAGATTTGTCAAAACCAGAAAACTCTTGTTCTAACATTTCTGTTGTTCCCAAAGATAAGACACTAATGGCTTATTTTAAAACTGTAACACTTCATGCAATATTGACTCATTACAGTTACCAGATAAGCTCCATTCAGTAAACTATTACTTGGCTGGGACCAACGTTAAAAGCTTCAGAGACTTCAGAATTCTTAAAGAAAAACAATGAATAAAGCTAAGCTTGCATCAACTTATATCAATACCTTTTCTCCTTAAAATTGATGTGCAAAGCAACCAAAATTTTTGACAGCAACTCAGCTCCTGTGCTGTGACCACTGCTACCCGTGGAAGGGAACACAAGTAATGCTGTTCCTACACACTGCCTGCTCCCAGGAAATAAGGGTTAACGGGGAAGAACAGCTTTACTATGTGCATTTGGCACCCTATACATGGGGCTCCAGCACAGGCCCAATAAGCACATCCTCCTCCTTCTCTAACTACCACAGAACAAGATTTAAATTACAGTTTTTTTGCTAATTCACACAGTTCATGAATTAACAAAGAATTGCTTCACATTAACGCTAATGCCTTTAGATGAGACTAAACAGCACAGAGAATCTTGCATAAAATTTTTATACACAGAAAGATGTGTTCTCCATCCTTAAAGCAGACAGCTGCCTCCATGGAGGAATTTCAGGAGCTGCATCCCCAGGGATGACTAATCACAGCCAGCTTACCTCCGTCATCCAGGGGCCGTTTCTGCACTCCATAACCGTACACTGACGGGTCCACAAGTGTTGTAGAATTATTCAAGTGAGGAATATCTCCAATTTTAGCAGCAATCTATAAAAACAGGGGATAAAAGTTTGATTAGCATACCTCAAGTTTCAGCCACCACAGGTAAACACTCTTTCTCCCAATAAGACATTGACCCCAGTCCAAGCTTCTTTCAGGTGGCTTTGTAACAAGGTGTTTCTTTTGTAAAGTAAACAATTTTCTGCTTGCTTTTAATATTTGCTTAAATTAAGATCACATTCACCCAGTTCCTCTTCCTGATCACAAGCAGGCATTTGCTCCCTGGAACATTATATTCAGAATTATTTGCTCGATGATAGCTGACAAGCTAAATCTTGCAGAGAGGAGGGTTCAAATTAGCTCACCAACTTTGTCCTGGACAAGCTACCACCACCAGAGCTGTGTGGGAGGACACATAATTCCTCTTGTGTCCAGATCCAGACACCCAGAAATGCACACTCACACATCCATGGGGGAGCAGAGGGAGAATGTGAAAACACACAGCACAAGCACAGGTTTGGGAACTCCCTGTCAAAGAGACTGGATCACTCTGTTTGCTGTATGAGAAATAAGCCAGTGGGCAAACCATCAGCCCAGAATTAGTTTCCATTTCCTGGAGTGGTCAGTACAGCACAAACACAACTAATGCTGCCTGTACTTCCAACCCTTCCAGAGGGGGAACTGCCATTCCCTGCCAAGCCAGGGAGCAAGGAGTTTATTTACATGAAAGAGGAGACAGTCAGGTATCACAGTAAGGGGACTTAGGTAAGCAAATAAACAAGTTGAGGCACACACCTAAACATCACTTCATAAAAATGAAAAGTTGATCTCATCTCTAGTGACATTTGGGAGTTCTTCCACCTGCTCTCTGAGTTAACTGGTGTAAGCCCACCCTAAAAACATACAGGTGCATTCCCTGGATGCTGCACCCAAGTTAACACCCCCTCCCAGGGACAGGCAAACTGCAGTCCCACAGCACCTCTTGCCTGCATAAAGTACTTTGCTGTAATAAGCAAGTGCAGAACAAAGTAGTTACAGCACAAATATAAAGCACAGTGTATTCTACAGCATTTGCTTCCTTTTACAGCAAGAAGAAAACCATTGCATAGGATCTTTACTAGGAGACTGATCTCACTCTATTATACCTGGATTTCACCGGAGAGTAAGCAACAGGAAGAGATGAAAGAGCATTTTACACAGTGTGTTTTAAATGACAAATTACATCTAAAGGTGTTTCTAAAATTTGCGTGTTACTGCAACAGAAAGACATCTACAGCAACTCTGGTTGCTGACACTACCTTCTGCTGCTGTGGAATAAACAACTGGCCAAGATTCAGAACCACAGGGTGCTGAAAAAAGCTATTTGAAATAATCTTGAAAGATTGAGGGCACTGATTTTAGGGAGAGAGTAGGAAACGTTTTGTTCAATGCCTTGCATGAAAAGGGCTCCAAGTTTGGACCATTTTCTCCTCATATTCCATTCTGTCCTGTCTCCTTTCAGAAAGTCGACAACTTCATCGTGTCAGAAATGCCAGAAAGAGAGTAAAATCCTCCTCTGGTACCAGCACAATGATCCTGCAGTGAAACTTTGATGACAACTGTTTTGTACATCATCATCTCCAGTCAGCCCCCAGAAAGCTGGTTCTGAAAGCATTACCACACCTTGGGCACTCCATGAGGGACTGCCAGGGGATGCCTTGCTTTTCTGTTAAGTGCTGTACTGCATCCATGCATCCAGCCCTTTGCCCACATGCTTTCCCCTTACATTTGGGATGTGGAGGATTTAACGAAGGTACCAAGACCACAGATGTATTCTGACTACTTCAACACCGAAACAGAAATTTTAAAATATATTTTACAACAATCTATTTGCACCTTTCACCTATTACAACGTAGACCAAAAGGAACAGTGTCAGGTATAACACACTCTGACATGTTTAGGGATATTTGATTTTAACATCCCCTTCACAAACTCTCTCTCTATTAGTAGTTATTTACCTGTAAGTCATGAGTGATAGTTTGGAGGTGAAATCACCCACCACACGCTCCAGGGAAATAAAAAAATTGTCTTGGACACTGGAAGCTGGCCTAGGAGAGGAAGCCAGCCTGAAGTACAAGGGTGTGCAGGAGCAGCTCCCTGGTACCAAGGCTGGCTGCTCCCAATGCAGGGAAGCTTTGCAAACCCCCACTCATGCTTTGCACACCATGACCACCCTGGCACAGAACCCTCTAAGTAGAGGGCAAAGCAAGAGTGTTAAAGCAATTTTTACATTATCAGCTTTTGGGATATTTTCCTCTTTTTTCCCCCCCGCCCCTCTCCTTTATTTAAACTTGCACCCTTATCTCTAAAGCCTTCCAGCTGCCACGGGATTACAGGCAGACAACATGTCACCTCAACTACAGCAGGAAAAAAAAAACACCCTGCAAAATTAAGAGCTTGAGCTTTCAAAGTACATGTGGCAGTTAAAATACATTTTAACTTCTCATGTTCGACTTAAAATGGGAAGCTCAGTCTTTAGGACAGGTTCAGCAGGGGGCAGGCACAAAAATCAGAATATGGCAAAAGTAAGCAGACCTAGCCCTTATCTGCCAAAATGACCTTGAGTAATGTTCCGCTGTTAGCCACTGCTTTTGTCCTGCTGTATGTCTGTCTTGGGGTTTTTTCTGCCCTTAACACAACACATCCATTTTACCAAGCTCTGAAATACATTGGAAAAAAAGCATCACTGTTCCTGCACCTAAATTCCCCAAAATCAAGCTCTCCAACAAAGACTTTAAAGGACACAGCACAAACCCGAGCTACAAACTGCAATGGTAAAGCCAAGAAAAACACAAGGATTCCACAAAGTTGTGTGAGGGACACATTTTTTTTCCTATACCTTGCACTTCTATCCTTCTATACCTTTAACAGACATTAAAAATGGTGTAATAAACCCCCCACTTAAATATGAAGCTTCTTTGCTAAGCACAGCAGGGCTCAAACACAAACATGTGCAGAATTCAGTTTTAAGAGGACAGGCCCAGCTTCTAGGAAAAACCTCTTGGTGCTGCCCTGCAAAGAACAGCAACTGATAAAATCACCAATTCTAGGTATTAGCAGAATAAAAAAAAAAACAATAAGGCCCTGTCATCTGACCCTTCAGGCTGTTCTAGTGCTCGTGCTGCTCCTCCCATTCGCTGAGCACAACACTGGAGTTGGTGTCTCCAGAGCTCTGGAGGAAGCAACAAAACCTCCCACAACCGCTGAAGTTTCATATCACAGGTGGTTTTATTAAATACTAAAGCAATTGCAAAGCCCTAAAGCTATCTGAGGATGATCTGAAAAATGACTCTGCGAGGGGGTAAAGAATAGGGTCATCTAAGACCCTTCCTTCACCATGGAAATTAGAAGTTTGAGCCTGATATAGAAAAGGATTTCAAAGACGCAGCTCGTTAACTCTCAGTAAGTCTCAGGGTGTTCACCCACTTTTGAGGTACCCAAAATGGCCCACTACAGGCTCACCAAGCCTCAGCCTTTCCTCCTCCCAGCATTCCCAGAAATTGGGATTCAGACAGTACATCTGGCAGGTTACAAAACCAGCACATGAAGGAAGAGCTGCAAACCCAAGTGTTGCACTGGAAATGGGCTGCCAAGGAGGAGAGGAGAGGGTGAGCACCAAGCCAGATGCTCTTTGGTCAATAAGAACAAAAGGCCAGTCCAAGAGAAATTAATTTTAGTCCAAAGTACTAACAGCTCTGCTTATGTTCTGATCCTATTACTCAAAAGGGGAGCAAAATCCTCTCTCTCTCTCTCCCACCCCAAAATGCCACAGAAGAAAAGCCACCCTGCCTGGGAGCAGCCAGGCAGATCAGTCCCCACCTATGATCCACTAATCCACTCACTTGAGGTGTGGTGCAGAAGATGCAGGACAGATCATCTCAAAGCCCCAGTACTGCCTTAAAGAAGTAATTATTCATAAATCTCAAGTATTTCAGCATTCACAAAAAATCCAGGCAAGTCCAGCACAAACACTGAAAGCAATGTACAAATAATTTCTTTCAAAGGTATTCCAGGTTTCTTATTCTTATGTCAGCTCACATCCCAGCAGCTCTGAGGAATGCAGTTGCTTTCCTTGGATCAGGAAAGTCCTCCTTGTTCTGAATTGTTTAGTTATTCATAACCAAGCACTGTATTCCACAGCCTGATTACAGTGTTATGGCTCTCACAAAAACTGAATTTAGAAAATTTGATTACTACTCTTATGTGTGACATTAAACCCTGAAAGACTCAAACATCAAGCCAGGGATGATGTACCAACCCCTGAGACAAGAACTATGACTGAAGTTTTTTTTGCTCTGCTTCCCTCATCCCCCTAAAGCAAAAGGAATACTCTGCAAAGGCCAAAACCAGCACAAAAGCTGAGATCTCCACACCAGATCAGTACAGCTCAGGCAAATACAGCATTAAACACCCCTGGTGAAAGCTCTGCCAGCACCTCCACAGAAGTCTTGGGTGTAAATGTGTAAATGTAACTGCCTCTACATCCCACCTGATTCTCAGCCAGGAACTTCCATCACAGATTGCCTGGGTGGTGAGGCAAATATCCATCCCCTGAGCAATTAAGGCCACCTTCATTGACTTTTGGCAACAAGTCACCAGTGACAATTTAGTTCTGTGCAGGACAAGACTACCTGCTCCCTTACAAACCCTCTACAAAACTAGATTAAATCAAGTACTTTCACAGACAGGGGGAAATATTTTAGCACTCCAACAGCTCTTTTCATCCCACAAACAGCAATGGAAAAAATCACGTTCAGCAGTCAGCAAACAACTCACTGCACAAAAATTTAGGACACTGTGCTCCCACAAACACGTGCAGAGCCCACATTTCCCAGCACACTCGTTTCCAGAGCAAAAAAGCAGCAGGAAGGTCGCTGCTGAAATCTTCCAGCTCAGACCAACTCGTGGAAACCCAGCACATGCAGTGTAATCACAGCAAGTATAATGAACTTCAGAACAACAAAATCAAGTAAGTGACCACAGAAGTATTTATTGCTCCATTTCCTTCACATGTGGGTTGTTGGGGGCTCACAGATTCACCCCACAAACACAACGACAGCACCCAGGCAACACAAATTTGGATCAATTTGCCATTAGTGCTCCATTTTAGCCCAACACCAGGTTGCTCCGAGGCCTGTCCAACCTGGCCTTGAACACTTCCAGGGATGGGGCAGCCACAGCTTCTCTGGGCAACCTGTGCCAGGGCCTCACAGGGAAGAATTCCTTCCCAATATCTAACCTAGATTTCCCCTCTTTCAATTTATACTCATTCCCCCTTGTCCTATCACTCCAGTTCCTGATGAAGAACCCCTCTCCACCTTCCCTGTAGCCCCTTCAGACACTGGAAGGTTCTGTGAGGTCTCCACACAACCTTCTCTTCTCCAAGCTGAACAGCCCCAGCTCTCTCAGCCTGTCTTTGTAGAGGAAGTGCTCCAACCCCCTCATCAACATCATGTCCCTCCTCTGGACCTGAAACATGCTCACAAAATAACTCCAACCAGCTGCAATGTACCAGCAAATAATTATTTTCTTTTACATAAAAGAGTTATTCAGCTGCTAGCAGGTGGTAATATTACCAGATATTCAAAAAGATGTTTTTGCAATGAGAGGCCTCCAGTAACAGACAACCAGGTCGAGACAAGCAGAGTGCAACACCCCTCAATTTAACTGCATCAGGCAGGTAATCCTGGGTGTTCAGACATCAAGGCCAGGGGGCTTTGCTAGTGAAAGAAGTGACACGTGACCTCATCAGGGAGGCAGCTCAGACCCCACCTGCCTGTGCTGAGGAAGAAAACAGAGACCCAAGAGCAGAGCAGCTCGTGGTGTCCCTGGAAAGGTGCAGAGTGTTGATCTACCATTGATTCACAGGTGAGCTGAGAGCCAGGGCAAAGCACTTCAGTCCCATCAGAGAGAGCATCTGAGAGGTCTCAGGGCCCAGCTTAGTTTCTCCAGAGGTTTCTCAGCGAAATCACAGGGAGTCTGGGCAACAGAAGGAGATTTCTCCCACCTGGAGAGAATAAAGTCAGGGTCTTTGAGCACCAGCTGGGCTGTGGTCCTGGTGTTACATCTCGTTATGGTACAGTCACTAAACAAAAGTAAAGCACAACCTGTTCAGAGGTGGGACAAACACCTGGGACAGACATGGAACAGATGTGATGAACCACCACAACATCTGCCCTGTGAGCAGCAGCTTCTTGTCCTGGAGGCACTTCCCACAAATCAAGGAGCATACAAACACCTGGAATATCCTGTGCTGAAGACAAGGGTGCTGGTTCCTGAAGCTCTGGGCACTTTTACTGAAACTTTCCATTTTAGCACCATTTTAGCACCATGTAAGCTCGGAGGTTCCTCTGGGGAGCACCTCCCTCCCTCCCTGGAGGGAATGTGAAGCTCCTGCACTGCTAAGGTTTGTATTCACAGAATCACAGAACAAATCAGTTCGGAAAAGACCTCTGAGATCATCAATTCCAACCTGTGACCGATCACCACCTTGTCAACTAAAGCAGAGCACTGAGTGCCAAGTCCAGTCTTTTCCTAAACACCTCCAGTGATGGGGACTCCACCACCTCTGTGGGCAGCTTGTTCCGATGTCTTATCGCCCTTTCTGGGAAGAAACTCCTTCTAATATCCAACCTAACCCCCTCTGGCACAGCCTGAGGCCATGTCGTCTCCTCCTGTTCCTTGTTCCCTGGAAGCAGAGCTCGACACCCCCCCCCGGCTTCCCCCTCCTGTCAGGGAGTTGCAGAGAGCCCGAAGGTCTTCCCGAGTCTCCTTTTCTCCAGGCTGAGCCCCCCCAGCTCCCTCAGCCGCTCCTGGTGCTCCGGACTCTTGCCCCGCTCCGTTCCCTTCTCCAGCCGATCCATCGTTCAGCCTCCCGCACAAGGCCCCGCTTAAAACCCACATTAACACCAGCCCACCCCCCTCACAGCCCAGAGCCAGACGGCCGCGGGCCGCCCCCCTCCCGCACATCCTCGGGGGCACAGAGGAGGCAGGCGGCCCTTCCTCAGCCCCGCGGCCTAGCGGCGCCCCCGCCGCCGCCACCTCCCCCTCCCGCGCGCCCCTGGCCCGCCGGCCGGCGCCTCACCTGCCGGACGCGGTGCAGGGCGTCCACGAAGCCCTCGGGCTTGATGCCCACGGGGGCCGCGCTCTGTCCCTGCCCCTGCGCCAGGTCCGCCATGGCCCGCGCCCGCTCCGCCCGGGCCCGCGCCCGGAAAGGGAAGGAGCCCCCCGCTTCCGCCGGAAGTGCCCTAAGGGGGCGGGGCGTCGAGGGGGCGCGCGGGGAAGGGCGGGGCCGCTGGAACCAGGCGGGGAGGGGATTGGGTGGGGGAGAGGGGCGGGGCCAGCGCAGGGCACGCCCCCTGCGGGACCCCCCCAGAGGACCCCCCTCAGGGGAGAGCAGGGGAACCCCCGGCGGGACGACCGGGAACACCCGTGCTCTTGTCCCTGCTCCTGTCATCCCATCCCTGCCCCTTCCATCCCATCTCTGTCTGTGCCATCCCACCCCTGCCCATTCCATCCCATCCCTGCCTGTAACATCCCGCCCTTGCCTGCTCCAACCCATTCCTACCTGTTCCAACCCATTCCTGCCTGTTCCATCCCGTCCCTACTTGTAATATCCCATTTCTGCCCTTTCCATCTCATCGCTGCCTGTTCCTTCCCATCCCTATTACTGCCATCCCATTCCTGCCCGTTCCATCCTGTACCTGCCCCTTCCACCCCATCCCTGCCCATTCCACCCCATCCCTGCCTGTAACATCCCATCCCTACCTGTTCCAACCCATTCCTGCCTGTTCTATCCCATTCCTCCACCTGCTCTTACAACCCTGTCCTGCCTGTGCCATCCTGTCCCTCCGTGCGTGTGCCATCCCATGCCAGGCTGTGCCACCCCTTCCATCCCGGCTGTGGTGTTGCAGAGTTGCCCCACCAGAGCCACCTTTTAACCCCTCCATGGGAACACATCACCCACAGCGTCTGTTCCCTGCCTGGCTTGGCCCATGTGTTTGAGGACTGTGTTCCTGACCCACAGGGCTGTGGTTGGGCACTGCCATGGTATTGGTGACACTTTTCACAAAGCTCCTGGACATGGAGTGTCCGTGTGCTCCGGGGAGCTCTTCCAAGCACTGGAGCTCCCAGAGGTGCCCAAGCATCCCCATGGAGCCCCCAGGTCTGCTTCAGCGCCCAGTCATATCCCTCCCACTGCAGCAGAGCAGCAGGAGACTCCAGGATGATGCAAGGACCAGTTAGTCCAGGATTAATGCAAAAAACATGCAAAGCTTGTTCCTTGAGCAGGACCATGCACAGCCCTTCCTGCTGCTTTTTGGGGATGTCCTTTTTGAATGATACCTCCCCGATTCCAGCCTGCAGCCAGCTCCTGGTCTGGTTTACACACTGAACCTGGAATAGACCAAGGTTCCCTGATCCCAGACCCCATTTCCCAAAGCCCGGAATATGAAATTCAAAACCCAAGTGATGTCCCACATAGCGCTGCTTCCTCCTCAGCTGGTTCTTGTTCTTTCCAGTTTCGTGCATCTCATTTGTGCCTACACAAGTAGGCAGGAATTGCTGAGGCTGATGGAATTATCTGGTGGCTTTCCAAGAGCAGGGAACGTGCTTCTTCACTGGGATGCACAGTCTGCTGCCAGTCACCTCTGTTGCACTGGCTGATCTCCAGCCTTTCCTCCTTTCTGATGTTGGGATCATTTTCTTAAGCAAAAAGTCCATTTATTTTAGGAGAAAAGGACAGAGACCATGGGGGAAGGATTTTAACCATAGAATCACAGAATCACAGGCTGGTTTGGGTTGGGAGGGACCTCAAAGATCTTATTCCAACCCTGATTCAACCTCTCTGCCTCGAGCAGGGACACCTTTCACTAGACCCAGGTTGCTCAGAGCTCCATCCAGTCCGGCCTAAAAGGACCTGTATCACCTCAGCCATTCCAGCATCTTCCAGCCATGGCAGAGGCAACTTCTCCAGCCATGCCTCCAGCTTTGCTTCTTCCTCTCTTGCAAAAAGAAAGCACAAAGACTTTGCTGGATGCAGGGACTTTTTCCCTTCCTAACCCCAGCTGGGAAGACCCAACATGTTCAGCACCAGCCTCTCCCCAGCTGCCCCTTTCACCCAAGCAGGTCCTGTGTGGAGGGATCACCCTGACAGCCCCACTCAGCTCTCAGGGGTGCCCCATTCTCAGTAGGATTCACCCCATGACTCTCTGGCTAATGCCAACCTCAAAGTGGCTGCAGAGGTGACCAAGCCTGAATCCTAAAGTCCCCAGTGCTTCTCCCGGCAGGGAGGAGCTGGAACATTCCCTGCCAGACCCAGAGCTGAATTTTGGCAGCCTCAAGCCCTAGAAAGAGGTGGGGGAGACTCAATGCCAGGCAGGACCAGGATAGAGGCTGCTGGGAGGGTGACAGCCAGCCCCGGTGCTGGACGGGCAGGGATGGCTGGGAGGGAGCCTGTGAGGAGAAGACATCAGGCAGCAGTCAAAAAGAGGGAAATTACAGGCCTTAAACACTTCTAGAAACAAATTTCTGATGTAAATCTTCCTTTTGAGGAATAAAAAAACGGGGGGGGGGGGAAAAAGCAAGCAAGGAGCGATTCTATGCCTCCATCACCCGCCTCCCCCCCCCGGCCCAAGACACACACACACCTTCACATACACACGCACTGAAATTAGTTGTGACAGCTGAAATTCTCCGCTCCTCGGACGCCGTTTGACAGGGTACTTAAAAAAGGAGGGAGGAAAAAAAAACAAGGGGAAGAAGAAGAAAAGGGAAAGTGGTTTGGTGTCGCACGGGGGAGGCGGAGGGGGGTGATGTGGTGGGGGGTTTCAAGTGATACAAGACGCATAATTCAGGCTTCTTGGATTGCAAAAGCTCCTCTTACCTAAAGGGCCTGCTGCCTTTATTTTTATCCAAATGGCTCAATTACTGCAAAGCCCCACAGAGAAAATTATGGATGTTTGCCTCTATTTTTCTCCTCTTGTCTCGACAACTGTAGATATTTTGTTTTCCTTCTTTCCATCTTTTTTTTTTCTTTTTTTCTTTTTTCTCCCTCTTGGTGGTGGTGGTTCCAGGGGGTAGAAGGTGGCTGGGAGTGAGGTGAGGTATGGATAGGGAGATGTAGGGGACCTGGGGTGAGGGATGGGGCACTGGCATGTGATGGCTTTGCCACCATCACACAACTTGTTCCTCTCTCCGTCTCCCTTGCGTCACCTCCCACCTTTGGCTGCTCACATCTCTTTCATCCCCACATCCCCCACTCTTCTCCCTTCCTCCAGCTCTCTCTCCCTCTGTTCTCCCCCACCTTCCTCCTCTCCTTCCCCCTGCTCTCCTCCCCATCACCCCCTCCCTGTGCCTCTCAAAGCCACCATAATAGCAGCTTGTTTGGCACTTCAGTTGGTCTCAATGAGAAAATTCCCCTCTCTCCCTCTTTTTGCCTTCGTTATTTCCAAACCCTGCAATAGCTCCTTTGCTCAGGGCTGCGGGAAGTGCCCATTTTTCAACATTTTTCTTTGGCTTATGTTTGTCATCCTCTGAATTACCGCACCGGGGAGTCCAGTCAGCCCGACACCGGGCCCTGCTATTCACGCCTCTCCTGCTCCTTGAGATCATGTAGGCAGAAATTAGTTATTTATTTCGAGCACCACTGCAATGCACTTCCCCACACAAGTGTTTGTTTTGATCTCCTGCTGGAAAAGGAGGCTCCACAGGGAGTGCTGGTGCGGCGGCAGCGCTGAGTCCGGTGGGAGACGCGGTGAGGGTAGGGCAGGGTGGGGGAAGACCCAGGGGTTCCTGGGAAAGCTGTGAGCATGGATACCCCCACCATGCTGAGCTGCTTCCCTGAGGCTGCTCCTCGAGCTGATGCTCTCTGCAGGTCCTGAGAGTTTCCAGGTGATCTTGTCCCATCAGGAAACCTGGTTGTCTGTAGTTTTACCTCTAGGTCAGATCTGAGACTGCGTGGAGCTGTGGGAGCATCCCACCCCAAGGTGGCCATGACTGTACCAGGCAGTGCTAACCAGGAGTCTCTGCCAAATGCTGCAAGGTTGGGCAGATTTGGTGGCTGGAGGAAGAAACCCTGCTCCAGCACAGCCTACAGCCACTGGACACAGTCCCCAGCCCCATTAACCAGCTGCTGTCCTGCCCACCCCACTTCACAAAGCAAGGCTACACAGGCAGCCTGGCTTTAGGGCAGACCAGGAAACATTCACCAGGTCAGAGATAGTCCCAGTCGATGGGACATGAGAAGGACACTGCCTGTCCTTGGAGGTTGTGATCCACCTCCCCCTTCCCTGTGCCAAGGTCAGGAGCCAGCGAGTCCCATGACAGAGCCCAGTGGTGCCATTGCAGACCAGGTTGGCATCACTGTGGCTCCATAACCAAGGTGTTGCCAACACTCCAGAGCCCTTCTCCCTGTGGAGATGCCACAGGCAGGCACAGGCAGCACTGGCACTGGCAGGCTTCAGGGAAGGGGCCCAACGAGCTGCAGCTTTAAAGAAAGAAGAGGAGCAGCAGGAGGAAGAAAATGCAAAATTGGCCCAGTGGGTAGACCTGCTATTTAAGTGCAGTTGAGAAAGGAACGGGAGGAATTACAGGAGAAATGATAGTGCCCTGACAGCTGCCATTTCCCACCGCCAGTCTCCCCTAATGGAGTCCTAATGTAGTGGTGGGCTCTTCGCTGACAGCCCACCCTGAGACAGGGCTTGTCTTTGTGCTGGTGACAGATGGGACAGTCCGGCAACAAACCTGTAATCCTCTGATTTCTGCCTGCACTGGCTCAGCTTAACCCCTTCTTCCCCCAACACCCGCTCGCTGCCCAGGTGTGTGGCTGGTGTGGGGTCTGACCTGCCCCCATCATCCCATAGCAGTGTCCAGGTCTGCCAGCTACACAAGGCAGTGGGAATGGCAGGCAGCTGCCTGCAGCTCCCTCCAATTTACTTGGCTGCTGCTGTCTAGGGCAACGTGGCAGGGGTCCAGCCTGGTCACTGAGCCTGAGCAGGCAGCAGCACAGCTCCTGTGGGTCTCTGGGACCCTGCTCTGCCCCTGTGACAATGGGCAGGTGAGTGTGGGCAGGTGAGTGCAGGCAGGTGTGCTTGGCAGCACGGTGCCTGCCAGGAGGGCTCTGGGCTGCCTGCCCAGCACAGCGCCCACCAAGAGCCTCCTGCTACCACTGGCTGCCAGTTCTGGCACTGAACCTCCTTGC